GATCAGTCCTTGGAGAGGGACATCACGCTCAGGAGGGTGGAGGGACAGCGCAGGAGAGGAAGAACCTCGATGAGATGTATCGATTCTGTGAGTGGAGTGGTGGGAATGAATGTGTTTGAGACAGCGAGGTTGGCACAGGATAGAACAGCGTTTAGGGCTCTGCACGTAGGGTCGCTATGAGTCGCAAATGACTTGATGGCACATAACAACAACAATGAATGTATTGAGGCTTGCTCTAGAGGAAAATGTGTATTTTGCTCTTTTTGAGTGTTCTTTATGTGTTTATGAAATTTAATTGTTTAGTTGTTTGTGTTCTTTAATATCTTTGTTTCATCCTTTCCAATCTTGTCCTTCATTGAAATGGTCTATTAAAGTCTCCTAGTGTTTAATTTCACAGTTTGAGATATTTTAGAGATTTTTCATTGAATACACAGATATTGATTATACTATGTCTTTGTCAGTAGTATTTTGAGCTGGTTTTTTCCCTTGATGAATGGATTGTCAGAAATCAATATGTCTTTTTTAGACAGCATATAGATATGTGGTATTTCTTTTCTATTCTGCTGCTTTTCTTCTCTTAGCTATTGCATTTTATCCAATCACATTTCATGTAACTATCAATAGATATTTTAACGCTTTCATTTGACTGTGTGTGTGTGTATGTGTGTGCTGCTGATTTTTGTGTTACATATACTTTTTTGAGCTGAGTTAATCTTTTAATATATTTCTTTAGCATTTCCTTAATTTCTTTTGTTCTAATATTTGTTGTTGTTATGTGCCGTCGAGTCATTTGCGACTGAGAGGAACCCTATGTACAACAGCCCTAAACCCTGCTCTATCCTCTGCCAATTGCATTGCCTCTGACACGCTCATCCCGATTACCCCAGTCACTGAATCAATCCTCCCAAGCATGATGTCCCTCTCCAAGGACCTCTCCCTCTTTACAACATGTCCAAAGCATGTCAGACGAAGTCTCAGAATCCTTGCCTCCAAGGAGCAGCTTGTTTTAACCCTCTCCAGGATGAATCTGTTTGTTTTCTTGGCAGTCGATGGTACATTCAATACTCTTCTCCAGCACCACAGCTCAAAGGCATCAACTCTCCTTCTATCCTCCTTAGTCATTGTCCAACTCTCTGATGCATAACAAGTGATTGCAAAGACCATAGCCTGTATCAGGTGCACCTTAGTCTCCAGAGAGACACCATTGCTCTTCAGTACCCTGAAGAGGTCCCTAAAAGCAGACTTTCCCATAATAATACGTTTTTTTTATTTCCTGCCTACTGGTGCCAAAAGTGTTGACTGTGGAGCCAAGCAGACTAAAGTTGTGAACAATCTCAATCTCTTCACCATCCATCCTGATGCTGCCAATTGGTCCAGTGGTGAGAATCTTTGTCTTCTTGACATTGAGCTTCAATACATAATGAAGGCTGCAGTCCTTGACCCTCTGCAGCAAGAGCTTCAGGTCCTCCTCAGTTTCAGCAAACAGGGTTGTGTCATTTGCGTAACTCAGATTGTTAATAGATCTTCCACCAATCCTGATGCCACACTTCTCCTCGTAGAGCCTAGCCTCTCGGATAATCTGTTCTGCATACAGGTTGAAAAGGTATGGAGATAGAAGACATCCCTGGCCTTTCCCAATTTTGAACCATGCAGTGTTTCCTTGCTCTTTTCTGATGACTGCCTCTTGGTCCAATTATAGGTTTCACATTAGAACAATCACGTATTCTGGGATTCCCATTCTTCTCAGAGTCAGCCACAGTTTGTTATGATCCACACAGTCAAACGCCTTTGCATAATCAATGAAACACAGATAGACATTCTTCTGGTATTCCCTGCCTTCAGCTAAGATCCATCTAACATCAGCTACAATGAAAACCTATGTTCTAATGCTTACTAAGCCTTTATCCTTATATGTTGTTGTCATTGTTGATTGCCTTCATGTTGAGCATGACTCATAGTAACCCTATGAACAAAAGACCTGAAGCCCCTCTACAACTACTGACATTTGTCAAATTCATAGACTTTTCTGGAGGCATGTTATTTAGAAAGTGGATACCACTCCTGCTTCCAAATATATCGTTATATAGCAAAGGGTAAGACAGGGTTCAGATCTATTGTTCATAGAATCTCTATGATTTGTGCTTAATTTGATGCACTTAACAACAATAGCAAATTTTTACAGTTTTCTTCTTTTTTAATATTTATGTTGTTGTTGTCATGTGCTGCCAAATCTACCCTACAGCTATCCTTTGAACAACAAATGTGAATCTTGTCTTATTTTGTGTCATCTCCACCATCCCCGATATACTTGAGCCCATTGTTAGAGTCAATTTGTCTTGTCTAGGGTCTTCTTCTCTTTTGCTGGCCCTTCACTTTTCCAAGGATTATATCCTTTTCCTAAAAATGATCTTATGTGAGAGATGTTTCATCATCCTTGCCTCTAAAGATCACCCTGGTTGCACTTTTGCCAAGATATATGAGATATTCAGTACTCTTCTCCAACACCACAACTCCAAGGTATCAATTCTACTGTCATCATTTTCATTCACTTCATCACTTCATCATTTTCTAACTTTCAGATGTGTAACAATTAGTTGAAAATACCATGGCTTGATCAGCTACATTTTAATCTTTAAATTGATAGCACTTTGGAGCTATCCTGGAAAGCAGATTTTCCCAAAGCCACATAACTTTTGATTTATTTTATTTTCTCTCTACTAGTTTATTTACAAAATTCAAATACAAATTTGAACAAATTCTTTCAATTTCCTTCACCGCCCCTACCCATCAAATTGTACAACCCAATGATTAATATCTTTCCCCCTGCACATCCACATCCCTCTGCTCCCAGCCTCTCCCACCCCTCCTGGATCCTTATACTCATTCTACAATAACGGTTTAATACAATATTTATCCTTGTGGGACTGAGTTAGTTCACTCAGCATAGTGCTCTCCAGTCCCTCCCAAAGTAGGTAATAATTTACAAAGTTTTTCATTCTGCATGCTGCATAGTATTCCATTGTGTAAAGGTACCATAATTTCTCAATCCATTCATTTGTGGTTGGATATTTGGGCTGTTTCCATGTTCTTGCAATGGTGAATAATGCTGCTATGAACATTGCTGTGCAAATCTCAATTTCTGCCTCGGTTATCATATTCTCAGGGTATATTCCAAGTAGTGGAACAGCTCGGTCATATGGAATTTCTATGTTCAGCTTTTGGTACACAGTGTGTTGAGTTCCTATCCTGAACCAATCTCACTGGATTCAACACACACCCACACTGTATCTTCATTATTATCTCCATTATTGTGTCAATCCATCTCCTCCTAGGTCCTTCTCTCTTGCCCTGTCCCTCCACCTTTCAAAGTATGATGTCTTCCTATAAGAACTGGTCCATCCTGGAAACATGCCTAAAGTATGTCAGATAGAACTTCAAAATCCTTTTTTCCAAGGAACATCTTGGTTTTACCCTCTCTAGGAGGGTAAAAACTGCTTGTTCTCTTGGCAGTCCATGTTCCATATTTTTCTTCCATCCCAACTAAAAAACATCAATTCTTCTATTATCCTTAGTAATTTTCTAGCTCTTTGATGCATGGCAAATAATTTAGAAGATCATGGTCTGGATCAGGGGCATCTTAGTCTCTAGACTGACATAGTTTCTCTTTAGCCCTCTGGAGAGGTCCTGGACAGAAGATTTTCCTAATACAATTCATCTTTTGATTCCTGACTGCTTGTGCCAAGAGTGTTGCTTGTGGAGCTGAGCAAGCTGAAATTGTTAATAATCTCAACCTCTTGATTTGTGGTTATCCTCATTTATAGATGTGTCTGTGGATCCCCTTTTTTTAATCTTGTAAATTTATTTTACTTTGTATACTTCTATGTCTAGGTTGGTTTCTGGATGTTGATGTCACTTGTATTAATTTCAGGTTGTTGCCTGCTATTGTTGGATAACCATCCAAAGACCTCCTCTTAGTATTTTTCCTTAGTTTCTGTTTTTCAGGAAATGTCCTAATTTCATCATTATATTTGGGGAACAGTTTCATTGGGTATTTAATTTTTGTTTTAAATTATTTTTGTTCTTTCAGGGTTTTATATATGCTATTTTTTTGCTAATCTTGCCTGGACGGTTTCTCTTGAGATACCAGAGCTTTGGTTTACTGGTTCTCCTTTGTAGGTAACTTTTTTGTTTTTCCTGAGCTCCTTTTTAGTACTCTTTATTTTCATTTGTTTTTAGAAAGTTTACTTATTTTGATTGTCTTTGAGTTGAGCATGACTCATAGTGACCCTGTGAATAAAAGGCCTGAAGCCCCTCTACAACTATCAACGTTTATCAAAGTTAATAGAGATTCTGGAGGCATGTCATTTAGGAAGTGGATGCTACTCCTGCTTCCAAATTATCTTATGTCTTGATTTTCTTTTGGGATCTATATTTTTTGGGGTTTATTGAGCATCTTAAATCCATATCTTGTCTTTCATATTAAGAAAATTTATTCTAGCAAATCTTTATCAGTTTCTCTGTGCTTTTTTTAAATATCTTCCTGTTCTGAAATTCCAGTTACCTCTAAGTTATTTCTTTTGATTGTGTCCTACATAATTCTTAAGATTTTATCATTCTTTTTTCTGATCGTTTTGCTAACAGATTGGTGTTGAGATATTTGTCATCTTTTTCCACACAATAGGCTCAAGTTAAATTTTTAAACATTGCATCTTAGATTTAGTAAAAAATCACCTTTCAGTGTCAGCTTGTATGCTGCTGTAAGGCTAAACAGGTTTCAGGAGAATTTCCAGAATGAGATGAACTAGGAATAAACACCTGACAATCTAGTTTCAAATATCAATCAACGGAAACCTTGTGAATAACAAAAGTTTAGTCTACAACAGATCGTGAATGTGGTGCAGAAACAGGCAGCATTGTCTTTCATTGTGCATGGATTTACTATGAGTTGAGGGCTGAGGTTTTGGCATCCCTGCAAGGTAACTTCATTTTCTTTTCTCCCCAGATGGTGCTCCTGGCTAGGTGTGAGGGACACTGTAGCCAGGCATCACGTTCTGAGCCTTTGGTCTCATTCAGCACTGTCCTCAAGCAACCCTTCCACTCCTCTTGTCACTGCTGTCGACCTCAGACCTCCAAGCTGAAGGCATTGAGACTGCGCTGCTCAGGAGGCATGCGACTTACTGCCACTTACCGGTACATCCTTTCCTGTTATTGTGAGGAGTGCAGCTCCTGAAGCCCATTCCCAAGTAGTTTCTAGATGACGTCCTTTCCTAGCCAGGGCAGCTCAACCATCCAGGGAGGAAATAAAGAAAAAGTTAAGGCATTAAAGATGCGCTAATTCCCACAAGATTCTGCATATTCTAGTAATAAAGACTCCATGTTGACACAGATATACTCTGGAAAACTTGGTTTCTGCTCTCATCTCCTTTACATGGTATAGTTTCTTAAGGTACTTTTTCTGATTTAGGTATATCTCCCCTTGGCTTTGAATGTTGTTTGGGTTTTCAATGATTAAACAGTAATGAGGCAAAAAAGGGCACACGTGCAAGACTGTCATTTGGTGCTTACTAGGGAAAAAAATACTTAAGAAAACCTAAATTTTTCTGCTGTCTCTTGGGGGGGGGCGGTGTTTTGTTTTGTCTTGTTGTTTTTATCTTGCCATTTTTGGTCTAAGGTTACCATTGCTGCTAACATAGTTACTAATTTCAAATCTCGGGCACCATGCATGTGGATATGTTTAGCTAGGCTTACTCACAACTAGCTAACTGACATGAAAAATACCTGTCTAAAGAATTCTCTTCTGTAATGTTAACACACTGGACAGCTATAGTTATAATTTTGAATGGTCTTTCTGGAAATAAAAGTAGCAAAAAGAATTTGACATCTGATAAACTGTGATAAAAATTTTGGAAAAAAGCACACTTCCAAAGACCTTCATTGACTTTCAAAAAGGCATATAACTACTAGTGGCATGGATAAGATATTATACTCATACAGGCAATTAGACAACCAAGTTTGAGCCCATTTGTATGCTGTAGCATTAGCCATTTCATAGGTATCATTCTCTAATATTCACTTGTCCATGTGAAGCTTGGTGCCAAAATGCCTGGCTGGCTCATCTTCTAAACATCTGGCTCAAATATGTTTCATTTCATTTTTGAAGCTCAAATGTTGAGTTCTTTCCATGTTTTGAAATAAAATGATACTACTTTTAAAAAATTTTGAGTGTGTATTTTTCCTCTTTTTCAATATCTTACCATAATACAGTCTACAAAAGAAATGTAATACTTAATGCTTAAGCATCCCTATTGTGTTGGAGAGTGCAAAGAGGAATGCACAGTGAGGCTTTTTTTGGTTTTCTTTTTTTTTGTGGGGTTTTTTTAGGTAAATGTTTTAAAAAGCCATTGTTGTTGTTGTTATGTGCCGTCCAGTTGCCTGTGACTCATAGTGACTTTATCTACAGTAGTGCCGAATTCTGACCTATCTTGAGTCAGTCTGGCCAACTCTGATAGACCAAATCCCATTTCTCCAGTCACAATGTCAATGTATCCCAACTTGGGATTTCCTCTCCTGTGTTATCCCTCCATCCTTCCAAGCATGACGTCCTTCTCCAAGGACTGGTCAGATTATTTGGTAGGCTGAACTTTATGAGGAGGAATGTAACATTAGGATTGGAGTGAGACTCATCAACAACCTGCATTATGCTGATCACACAACTTGACTTGCTGAAACTGAGAAGGAAATGAGATCTTTGCTGCAGAAGATCAAGGACTATAGTCTTCAATATGTATTGAAGCGCAACATCAAGGAAACAAAGATTGTCAGCACTGAGCCAATTGGCAACTTCATAACAGAGAAGAGATTGAGATTGTTAACAACTTTTTAAGTAAGCTAAATTACTTAAGACGGCATAGAGCTTATAACATTTGAATTTTAATCTTGGGGTTTACTCTATAGAATAAACAAAAAATCTCATTATTTCTTGTTTCTATACAAGCTGTGAAATGAAATAGGAAAGTCACCTTCCTTTTAATCTTGAAAATTAAAAACTATCCATAAATGAAGTCTAAAGATCCATCAAGAGGACAAAGAGTTAATAAATACAGTCTTCTATACCACTGACTGTAGAATAGTCCAGTTTAATGATTCTACTGAATTACATTTCCCATAAAGATTGTAGATTTCACATTCCTTGGTGCAGATTTCACACATTTATTTTATTTTTTTAGAAAATCAACCCAAAGGGGTTAAGTTTATACTTGTGGCTTTGAAAGAAAATTAAATTACTGTTATTAAATCATGGCCTTCACCTTAACTTTCTTGGTGAAAAATGTAGGCATTTTACAAAATAGCAATTTAGACTATTACATGAGGTGATTTTTTTAAAAAAAGAATTAAAATTAATACTGAAATTTAAATGACTATAATTCTTAACTTATGAAAAAAACATATCACAACCTTAACATGCCTCCTGACTTAGAACATAAAATTCACTTAAGTTTATAACTTACATTTTCTAAATATCAGTATTTATTTCCTTACTACCAATTTGCGGGTAGAAAGGAGAAGTAGATGATCCATGTCTTCCAAATTCTCTAGAAACCATAGAAAATATTCCTTTCAAATATCATTATATGGTCTATTGTTATATCATAGAAATTAGCAGAATATAGCTTGGAACATTATAGAATCACAGAGAAGACACAGTGAGAAGGACATTGGAAATCACTTCACCTCTTCTCTCCCTAAATAATTCAGCAAATGGTTGTTCTTGTTGTGTACCATCCAGTCGGAGCCTACTACCTACAGTTAACCCTCCAGCAGGTTTTCAGAGGCAGTAAATCTCAAGGGAGGAGATTGTACATCTTCCTGAAGCAGCTGGTGGATTTGAACCACATACCTTTCATTTGACAATACCACCAAGCCACCAGAGGCAGAAATCCCAGATCTTTCCCAAGGTCATACAGTTTTCTCAGATTTGGGATTAGAACCTGCGTTTTCTGTCCTTTAACCCTTGAACACTTCCCTTTCCTTCCTCCATGACAGTGAAAAGACTTTTCCCTCTTTTGCAATCTTGGATGTTGAAAATGGAGAGTTAACAGAGAGAATATGTTACGGTAGATTAATGCTTAACAGAGCACACTAATGCTTAAAAAGAGGAAAAGGAAGTCATACATTTACAAAGACTGAAAAAATAGTTGTATGGATTTAGAGAATTCATACATTATTATTAAATACTGAGTACATGAGGAATTTTTATTTTCTCTTTTAAAAATTAAGAATATTTAGCTTTATTTTAATTTCTACCCATAAATATTGAAAGAGAACCAAATAAAAACTTTGGTCAGCTAAAAACACTACTCCAGAAATTCTCATGGAATTCCCACTAGTCTTCCCTATTCACTATTCATAACAAAGTGGAAATACCATCAACAAATGAATGGATAGAAAATAATGGTATATTCATACAATGGAATACTATGCAGCACTGAAAAACAATGAACTTGTAAAACATTCCACAACATGGGGGATCCTGGAACACATTACGCTGAGTGAAATATCTGAGTCACAAAAGGACAAATACTGCATGGCATCACTTTTATAAAGCAGGTCTGACATTGGAGTTTGGGAGGAAAACGAGATAAGAGTGGAAAGATAACGATTGTTGCATTGGAACAGAAGAAAGAAAGAAATGTCTAAAATGAACATATGATTAGTCATTATACATACCACAATACCCCAAAATAAGAGATGTGTCATTGTCAAGAGGACTGGAGGCAGGTAGCAATTGTGCAACAATGAATTTTTTTTTAATGTGAACTTAGGGAGGGGAAAAGGAAATATGCAGCAATGAATGAATGAATGATAATGTAGAAAATCTAACTTCTCTGTAAATGTTTGTAATGTCATAATTAAAACAAAATTTTATTTTAAAAATGTGTCTAAAAATATGTCTGAAGTCCAATAACTAAGAAACTTAAGCCTCCTGTTTTTACCGGCATGATAATAGAAAGAAAATGGGTATATAAGTCAAAAAGGAAAAAAGAAGAAATCAAGGCCTTCTTCTAAAGTCAACAGAGAACACTTTCTGCAACAGCCTACACTCTGAACTTTTACTTCTAGCCTTCTAAATGATGAGAAAATAAATTTTTCTGTATTAAAAAAAGAAAATGGAAATAAAATATATTCTACTTTGAATAGCGTATGCTAGAAATCTGTGTGGTAAGCCATAATGGTGGCATCTGTTGTTGTTGTTGTTGTTGTTATGTGCCTTCGAGTCACTTGCGACTCATAGAGACCCTATGTACAACAGCCCTAAACTCTGCTCTGTCCTGTGCCAATCGCACTGTCTGAGATGGTCCCATCCTGATTACCGCAGCCACTGAATCAATCCACCTCATAGAGGGCCTTTCCCTCCTGCGCTGTCCCTCTACCCTACCAAGCATGATGTCCCTCTCCAAGGACCTGTCCCTCCTTACAACATGTTCGAAGTATGTTAGACGAAGCCTCAGAATCCTTGCCTCCAACGATTTGACCCGGTTTAACCCTTTCCAGGATGAATCTGTTTGTTTTCCTAGCAGTCCATGGTACCCTCAATACTCTTCTTCTGCACCACAGCTCAAAGGCATCAATTCTCCTTCTATCCTCTCTAGACACTGTGCAAATCTCTGATGCATAACAAATGATAGCAAAGACCATGGCCTGTATCAGATGCACATCAATCTCCAGAGAGATATCATTGCTCTTCAGTACTTTGGAGAGGTCCCTAACAGGAGATTTTCCCATCGCAATACATCTTCTAATTTCTTGGCTACTGGTGCTAAGAGTGTTGACTGTGGAGCCAAGAAAGTAAAGCTGTGAACAATCTCAATCTCTTGATCATCCATCCTGATGCCACCAATTGGTCCAGTGGTGAGAATCTTTGTCTTCTTGATATTGAGCCTCAATCCATATAGAAGACTGCACTCCTTGACTTTCTGCACCAAGTGCTTCAAGTCTTAGTTTCAGCAAGCAAGGGTGTGCCATCTGCATTACACGGGTTGTTGCTGAATCTTCCTGCAATCCTGATGCCACACTTCTCCTAATACAGCCCAGCCTCCTGGATAATCTGTTCTGCATATAGGTTGAAAAGGAATGGAGATAGAACACATCCCTGGGGTACACCCTTCCCAATTTTGAACCATGCAGTGTTCCCTTGCACGATCAAGTGTTCTAGGATTCCCATTCTTCCCA